TACTTTTGTTTCTACATGAAGACTGATTAAACCTCTGCATATGGACACGTGGAGCAGTGGGTTTTGAGTTGTGTAGTGATTATGAGAGTCTTGTGGTGCTGCTGTGGCATCCAAGGCTTAAACTGACATGAAGATGTTTACACAGAGCAGCAGTGTTTCAGTGAAGAGTCTTGAGTTACAGTGAGAAACTGAAGCTGCCTCCTGCAGGCTCTGGTTACCGGGCGGGTCACTGTGGACGTGACGGCAGGACGGGACAAGGTCCAGAGGATTTTATCAGTTGTGCGGAAATGGGATGGTGTCTCTGAGGGGGCGGGATTCAGGACAGAGGTGAGCCAGGTGAGCTACAAAGCCAAGTGTTGTGTGACAGAGAGAACTATACAAACTCAGCAGCAGGACTCAAACTGAGCTGTGCACACCTGGGAGGAAACCTCTGAAAACCCGAGTTCTTCAGGCGGCACTTGAATCTGTCCTACTGCAAGGATGTAAATGAGACACCTGCAAGTTCTTACCTGCACCTCGTCTTAACCTGCCTGGATCCTGAAGCAGTGAAGCTGAACAGCCACTCAAGCTGGGGTGGACACTGTTGTGGTGCTGAACCTGAACTGTTGGCAAGGACTGTGCACCCTGGCGGTCCTGACCCTCCACAGCCTCTTCAAAAACCGCAACAACAAGGCTGTGGAGCCCGAGGGGAATTCGGAGGCTGCAGGGCAGAAAGGCCATGCAGAGGATGCAGGTGTTGCTGAGGGACGGGGAGCATTCAGGACTCTGCGTGGTGGAGATGATCCGGTGAAGACTGTGGAGTGTAGAGCGGATGGAAGGAGGTGGCGAGGGGGAGCCCTTTGTAATGTCCCCTGCAGCAAGAGACAAGTGCAGGTGAGGCGGCGGAGATGAGGTTTAGGCAGGCAGGTCAAGGCTTTAAAAAGCTGAGTCAAAGACGAACAGCACACTAGGTGCAGGCTTGAGACACTTCACTGAGTGTCCTGTTCAACAACAATCCTCTCAGGGCACTGAACATAGCCAGGTCCAGACCTCAGTGTTGCACAGAAAACCCCAACAAACCCCCCCTAAGCAGCACTCTGCAACAGCGGGGAGGAAAAACTCCCTTTAACAGAGGAAACGTCTGACAGAGTCCGGCTACTGGTGGGCGGCCTTTGGCCTCGACCGGCTAGTCACTTACTGGAAAAACACAAAGACGTACTTTTCTAGTTTCTAAATTAGGTTTTGATGGGGTTTTTTTTTTTTTTTTGTCCTGTGTGACAGTCGTGCCGCACAGGAAAAGTTCTGTAAAAGGACATTTTACTGGACTCTGTCTTTAATTTATGGATAAAACAATAAGTGAGATTACATAGTCATAATGACTGTGTTTCTTCTTCTGTCCCTGATGCTGTTTTTGTACAAGGAGCATTAGAGGAGCTGCATTAGGCAACACATTGCTTAGAGAAATTGCATGTGGTTCATAAGATTCCTTTGAATGAAGAAGACCCGTTTTACTCCAACAGGTAAGCAGTCACCTCTTAACATTGTCCTAGATACTGTATTTCACCATTTCTTATCATGTGCACTATGAAAGAGTTAATTGGGGTGAGAGTAGAGGATGCCGAGGATAGAGTTAGGTGGAAACAGATGATTCGCTGTGGCGACCCCTAACGGGAACAGCCGAAAGTAGAAGAAAGCACAATCATAGTAAGTATTAGCTGCAGAATGAGTGTCTGGGAGGGGGGGGGCTTTCACATGTCTGCGTCTGGGGGCCTGTTGTGTGTTAATCCAGGTCTGAATCCTCAAACAGCCCTGTGAAGGTGTTGTATGGCTATCTTTGTGAGGACCAGACGTGTTTGTGTGTGTGCACACAAACACACACAGTGGGCTGTTGAACATTTGAGGAGGGGGGAGGGGCAGCTCCATACACCTCATTTGAGGCTGAAATATTTATCTGTCAGCGGGGTGGAGGGGGAGGAGGAGGTGTGATGCTGCTGTGCTGTTGCTAGGGAAACAGAGGGAGGAGGCTGTGTGTGTCGGCGGGTGGTGTTGACACTGATCCTGCTGCCTGCGTCGGTCGGAGCGAAGCTGCAGCGAGGACGAGGAGGAGGAGGATGCAGGGATGATGTGGATGGCAAGGACGCAGGAGGGAGGTAAGGCCCTGAAAGGACAGACACAAAGATGGAGGCTGGAGGGGTAGCAGACATGCTGGGCAGGCAAAGCAGATGGAGGTCGGGCTGTAACGTGATGCCCAGTGTTGTGTTTCCTCCGGTCGTGTGGATCAGGCCGCACAAAGCTTGGTTTTTATTCCTGTGTGGATTTCTCTGGCCTCCTGACAAACCCTCCTGTCGTCTGGTAACGTTTTCTCTCTATGTGCGTTTTTCTTTTGTGACCGTCGGCATGTGGAGCCGTCGTCGGCTGCTCGGGAACCAGAGAACAGGCTGTGTCTCTGTTGCCACCGGTGCATGTTGCTGTGACTGTCCAGCTAGTGCCACTCCAGCACAAAGTGGACTGTGTGTAGATCTGGATCCACTGGTCTGTAATCAGCAGCTCCTTGGTCATCGCTAGAGCGTGTCAGTCGTATGAAATGTCAGATTTCAGCCTCTCAGATGAGAAGACTCGCTGCTTTTCTTTGTCATATTGTAAAGTGAACGTTTGGGGGTTTGCACAGAAGACTTCAGTGATGTGATGGGCTTTTTGTGACATTGTAAAGGAAAAACAAGTAATGAATGTGTTTAGTCCAACTTTACATAACTGTTAGCGTTTCTTAGAAACAAATCAGTCAGCCAAACGTTTTTCGTGCAGCACTTCTCATGCACGTTCATGTGATACAGAGGGTTTTACAGATGAATGTGAACAGTAACAGTTTGAAGACAGGAGGTTGTTGGAAAGATGAAGTGTAATAACACCAAGGTACAGGTGGGATAAAAAAAAAAAAAATCCCTAAAACCAAAACTGATGAAAGACGGTAACAGAACATAGAAGAACGTCCTTGTGTGTTTCATGTGACCGAAACCCAGACATGTTCGGTTGTGGACTGATAATTGTGAATGACATGACAAGTATTGTATGGAAACGAGAGAGAAACGTTTAAGACGGCAACTAGAAATGATCTTTCTTCATTTGTTTCTATAAAAAGGTGAAAAACGCTGGTGAGAAAAGCAAAGTTTGTTTTGTCAGGTCAACAGTTTTCTGTCACACATCCACACAACCCGTGTGTCGAAGGTGATCGGTCATTGATCACTGTGGTTAGAGACCGTTTTGGATCATTTCAGCTTTAATCAGAATGAAAGCTGCTCGAGCTGTTAGCGTGACTCCTCGCAGCTCCCTCTGCTCGTGGGGCTACAGTAGCGCTGCTGAAGGTGCGTTTTGGTCTGCACTGGATTGTTCGTCTCTGGATGCTGTTCATGGATCTAAGCTGGGCAGCGGCTCATGGTCAGTGCCGCTAGACCAGCTCTGTGTCGGGCCTTTCTTCTCTTTGTCATAAAACAGTAGGTCAGGCAAAACCAAACATGTTTGAGCCTCCAGATCATTGTATCATGTCACTTTGTAACTTTAATTTTTTTCCCATCTTGGGTGCCTGGTGTGTGATCAGGGAGATGGGGATGGAGGGTTTGCAGTCACCTTTCAGCAGGTTTGGGTGGGCTAGACAGAAGGTACCGCTGACACAAAGGGGAAACATGGCTCATAATCTGTGGTGCAAGCAGGTTGTCTGCAAGCAGGTTGTCTGCAAGAGGCGGCTGAGCAGTTTGATGCTGCCATGTTTTTCTTAGCTTGGTCCTGGAGCTCAGTGGCTTTGTGCGAGAGCTAACTTTACAGGTCCTTCTCCAGTCTGAGTGTTGGTGAAACCGAGCCAGAAGTGACGGGAACATGAGTGAGTGAGAAGAGGCAGTGTGAGAGCGTCACCTGAGCTCTGCAGGGAGACGGGCCAGCAGCTGTCAGCGTTCATAGTACTTCCACATAGTGTGTGTGTGTGTGTGCGTGTGTGTGTGTGTGCGTGTGTGTGTGTGTACCGGCATCTTACTCCACATTCACAGTGCAGTGTGTGTGTGTGTCAGCAGCTCCAGCACTTTAATATCTTGGTATTGTGGAGGTTTGACATGTCAGAGCAGAGCTGTAGCCTGCACTCACTCCACACTGGGCTCAACATGAGGATGCGCTTTAAAGGGCGTTAAATAAATACAAGTGTGACCAGACAGGACGAAACAATCCCATGAGCCTTATTCCTCAATGTGACTGAACCAAAACACCAACGAACATTGGCCACTCGTGTATGTCAGGCCTCTGTGAATGGACGTATTTGTGCTATGTCCCCACCACAGGCCTTTACGCTCAGCTCTGACCTTGTTGTGTCGCTGCTTCCTGTCCGTGTGTGTCAGCACCGTGTCTCCGGCTCCGGTGTGAACACCGCTCAGCTCCTACACTGCCACACGTGCACAGATGTAACTGAAATGTGAGCCATATGTTCACAAGAATAGGAACCAGGTGGTGTGTGCGACGGTCAAATGGCCCAGTTTCCTCCAAACCGCTGGGTTACAATATGTTCCATTCCAGTTTGGCCTGATCAGAAGCTTCTCCATAAACATCCACCACATGTGACACTAACTCTGTTTGGCTCCAGCTCAGTAACAGAACCAGCCTTCACATCCCTCCCTGGCCAAATGTGACATGAAACACAACAGTTCACTGAGTATGATGCTTCTTGATGAGCTCATCATCTCCGACGTTCCTCCAGAACAAACCTCCGTAGATCCACATAGAAACCAGAGGAGAGGCAGCAGCACCTGCCTGAGACTCCTGTTTCCTTCAGTGTCCCAGTGATCCAGTAACAGTTGTGTGTACATGCAGGGGGACACTGCACACAGGGGCCACAGGCTGCTCATCCTGCTGCTGGGTGGTGGCCGTATGGAACCAGACCCGGGTGTTAGCCAGTAGAATCGGCTCCTTTTGCAGCTGGAGTCTGGTGCCATTCATGTCAGTGTTCCTGTGACTAACACCAGCCTCTGCCCTCTGTGTGTTTGCAGCCGGTCCAGCGGTCCAGCGCTCTGCTCAGCTCGGCGGTCATGTTCGGCACCAGAAAGACTTGGGACCTTGGCCACACCCCCTTCCTGCAAGAGCTCTGGAAGAAAGACCTCTCATTGGACGGTGAGTCAGTCGGCTGCTGCAGAGGAGAGACACGGAGCTTCAGCAGAACAAACACCGGCGTGGCTGCATTTCTGGCATGACTGGAGAGTGTGCGTGTCTGTGTGTGTGTGTGTGTGTGTGTGTGTGTGTGGGCAAAAGGCGAGTCACACCTGTTGTAATGAATGGAGCAGGACAGTGAAAGGGAGCAGAGGAGACCTGAGTATGTGTGACGGTGCAGAGCGACACAGGTGAGCTGAAAACATGGCTCTGTATTTATTTATGTCTTCGTTCCTGTGTACGCTTTTCTCAGCTGATCGTTTTACAGCGCGAGCCCTCGGAGGGGACGGATCAGGTTGAGAACAGAGCAGCTTTTGTTCATTCTTTTCATTCTTGAGCAGATTTAGTTGTTTGTCCTCTCCTCCATGAACATTCATTCCCCCCCCCTTTATTCATTAGAGTAAAAGTAAAGTTTGGTTTAGTTGGTGGCAGAAAATGATTCTGCCACAGTTTTGATAATTATTGTTTAACAGATCAGTTTCCAGTTGTTACATTGGCTTTTAAATAAGCAAAGTCACTGGTGTGAAGTTTCTCCAGTGTGAATATTCCTCACTGCTCTGCTGCTGAACTTGGCATCTGCGGCTTCTGGACCAGACTTTTGGACAGTTTTAAGAGTTTTTTTTGGCTTTTTATACACAAAATGATCAATCGATCAACTGAAATAGTGATCAGACCTTGGTTTTCATTACGCCTGCAGATGAAACTTAAAAATGGCTTCATCAAATTTTCGGCTCGTTGTTTTGTCGGATTAGAAATCATTTACTGATGAAGTGGGTCAGCGTTACGACCCAGTGGGCACACGGACTGCGTGTAGGTTCCCTGTTGTTCATGTTTTGTTCATTTCTTTGTGAACATGTTCAGTGACAGAGCAGCAACGAATGATTTCTGAGAAATGATCTGCCAGACTAATTGATAAGTTATCAGTTGCTTCCCTGACACACATGATCAATACATACAGATATTATTTATATTGTCAGTATATTAACTAATAATAATAATGGACCATTTTGTCTGTAGGGTGAAATCTTCAGATGTGTTTGTCTAAAACCACAAAGGTCCAGTTCACTAGAGAGAAAACCAGCAAATGTTCACATTTCAGCTGGAACCAGAGAATTTTGGCCTTTTTGATTCAAGTTACTTTAATGATTTAACCAAACATCAGAACAGTTTGTTTGAACGGCGGCAAACCTGTGTGACAGATCGGTGGGTAAAACGTGTCTGAAGAGTCCGTGTAGCCACTGCGTCATTCATTGTGTAGTCGTCACGTTGCTCAAGGTGAAACTGAAAAGAAACGAGGACACAGGACAGAAGGAGGAGGAGGAGGAGGACACGACTGCTGTGTCTCCTTCAGACTCATGGCGGCTGTAATCAGTAACAAGCAGTGATTACCTATCAGCGCCTGATTATCAGAGTGTTTGTCCAACAGTTTTGCTGTTTTCACAAAACAATGTGTTAAAGGAGGAGACTAATTTCTGGGTCATGTGACAGAAAACGAATTAACGATCATTTGGATCATCTATTTAATCCTGCACCAGGAACCCCACCCCAAAACAAAAAGCACGTCAGAGTGCTCCCTCTGCCAGAAATCTGTGTAACGCTCACATTTCCCACACAGTGCAGGTTGTTCTCAGGTTGATCAGATTGGAGGCCTCACAGAAAACTTGTGCCCACACATGTGAGTACTTTGTACTCACATTGACCTGAACCTGGTTCTAACCTGATCCCTAAAACCAGGTCTGGACCCTCACACAGCCCAGACAGGACAGAGAACCAGCCTTCACATCCCTCCCTGGTCAAATGAGGGAACAGAGGACAGAGGAGAAAAGTCCGAGCTGATTCGGGAAAGAGAGTTTTGTTCAGGTCTTCTCTGGTCATGTGCAGTGACCTCAGTCATCACAGATTGCTGGTTGTTGCTGTGCTGCAGGTCCCAGACTGACGCCCACAGAACACGGTGTAGCGGGAGGCTGTGGAGGG